ACATTGAATGTTACAGTATTTGAAGGAACCGACGAGAGTATTTAGTAAATGAAGGTGCTATTTTTCTCCAGAAGACGTCCTAAAAAAGTGGTCTTAAGAACCTAAAAAAATTTTTTCAAAGCATTTTTTTAAACCATTTTCTAGATGGTTGTAGATAGAAAATTATGAATGTTAGAATTTAAGGGGGTTTCAACAAGTACCAAAATTTTGATCTCAGACAAATTTGTGCAGAGTAAATTTATTTTTTAATTTAGAGCTAGCCTAGGTCCAGAAGACGTCCTAAAAAAGTGGTCTTAAGAACCTAAAAAAAAATTTTCAAAGCATTTTTTTAAACCATTTTCTAGATGGTTGTAGATAGAAAATTATGAATGTTAGAATTTAAGGGGGTTTCAACAAGTACCAAAATTTTGATCTCAGACAAATTTGTGCAGAGTAAATTTATTTTTTAATTTAGAGCTAGCCTTTGAAAATTTGTATGAGTGTGTATTGAAAAACAACTTATCTCTCAACTTAAATTGAACTAAGGGATCACATCCAGAGAAGAGGTTACGTTGTTTTGAAATTCAAGTGATACAAAATCAAGAGATTTTTAGATTTCTTTATTCTCAGTTTTCTTCATGTAGACAACGTTTTTTCAGGAGAGAATTTTTTAATATTTTTACCTTATCCAGTTGATGTATTAGTGTGATGGATTTTTGTTGCTAGCAGTTATAAGACGGACGCCTTCTTGAATAGCTCTTTTTCCCCCAAACAGTGGGAGTCATGATATCTCTTGATGAGTCATGGAGAGAGCGGTGAAACCATAAGTGTTGCAAAAATTTCATGAAGGAATCTTTGGGATATATTTTGCGGGAGAAATTTCAGTGGAGAAAATCTTGGCGGCAAGATACTATTAGTCAACTGTGTTTAAGAATACTTTTGACAACTGTAAACGTTGCAAAGTGTGCCAAGCAGTTTGTCAATAAATCTATGGTTAACGGCAACTTGCATCCATTCCTTCATTAGTAACATTTGAAAAATGAAATATCGATTTGATGAGCTCTTTGCAGGTTACAAAAAGAAAACATAGTTTTATTGTGGTTGTCAAGGATTATCTTACAAACTTTTCAGAGATATGAGCTTTGAAGATTTTGGTCAAGAAAGAGGTAGCACGGTTTATTTATGAACTCATTGTTACTTGCTTCAACATTCCGTTTGATCTCAATTCATGAATGACGTGTGGATAGATTTGATGGAACGTTGAGCAATTAAACATAATTTTACAAATATGTATAAACCAAGTGCAAACGGACTTATAGATCGAACAAACATGATAATATGTTCTAAGATTGCAAAAAAAATGAAAACAAGGGCGGATGTTAGTGATTGGTATCTTCATTTTGTTTTAGCCTACGGCATTGAGGCTTTACTTCCAATAGAATAGGAACTGATGACACTTTGCACTGCTTTTAAATCATGTTTGGACTGGATGAATTGCAACGAAGGTAGCTTATGCAATTTAACGAATAGGACGAGGTCTAGTTGCGTGCAAGATAGGAAATTGAGGTGGCTCAGGCAAATGTGAAGAAGGTTTGAGATGAGAAGGTAAAGAAGTGGATGTTCAAGGTGGAAGAATTTGTGATGTTATTCGATTCAAGGCACTTTCAAAGAATCCATAAAGAACTACTACCCAAGTGGTTTGTACCATATGAGATTAAAGAAGTCTTTGCGTCAAACAGTACCGATTCCCTACTCAAATTAGATGAAAGAAACTATCCAGATTGAGATAATCATGATAAATTGAATAAAAAAAGAGCTTATGTAGACATGTTAGACTAGTAAAATTTTAAGTACGCATCTGCTATAAGTGTGAGGTGAATGTTAGTGAGTAGTTAAAGCTTCTAGAGACTTACTTTGTTTGTCTGATAGTTGAAAAGTGATTACATTCATGCGTCTATGTGTCCAACATCGAATATAGCAGGGTCGGAAAATTTCTTATGAAATTTCCACTTCCCTGATCGCTAGGATATTTAAGGTGAACTCTCGTAGGAATTTGGACCTCGAGAGTGTGCTTCGTAGGTACTAGTACAGTCGATGTGCTAGCCTTTTGTAGCGAACCTCGGCTTTGCAGTTTAAACACAAATTGCCTTGCAAGTGAAAGCGTGTTCTTCTTGTTCTTGTTCTTGTGTTTTCTCAAACAGACCCACACACCCCCATTTATCCACTCTCCACGTCCAGTTCCTTCTCCAGGAAAATTTATTACCTCTGCTTGACGCATGCTTTCCTAATTGCAACTTGATGCTTGCCTGATTACCCTCAGAGAAATCACCTTCTTCCTTGATCTTTACCTCTTCGTCATCTGCTTATGGTTGATCCCTCTCATCGCTGGGTGCAACCACTAATCCTGTTCTCGCATCATATTCTTCAGACCTACTCATCTCCAAGTTCACTTGCTTCTCTTTATCATACTTCTCATTTTGATGTGCGCCACCTTGATAATCTCCGACATCTCTGATCTTCTCCTTCGGTTCCATAAGGGCCTCCATTTTAATGCCTTCTCCGTAATCTTGCGTCTCGTAGTCTCCTTCCACTTTCACTTTCCAATTTCTTGCTATTGGAGCCATACCAGGTTGTGTACTCTCTCTATATGCTTGCTCCTCTTCACATCTTTCTCTTTTGTTGGATCTTCCTCATACCTTCCAGTAGGTTTGAGCATAATCTTTGTCACCATAATCTTCTGCACCATTTTAACCGCCATTTTGGAACCGTGCGGAGGGCTGAGTATCTACCTCAGAATCTTGGAAAAAACCCACATCTACATTCTGATAAAGATCCTCATATTCATCCTCTTCTAACTTGTTCTCAACAATAGCTGCAAATGACTCGAAAGGATGCACGTAGGTTTTTTCTGTCTTAAAATAGACCTCAAAGCATAGAACTTTTTGCAAGAAAGAAGTTTGTAAGAGAGACCAAAATCAGCACACCCAACCACTGAGTTAAAGATTTATGCCATCCTTCTAAACGAGACAGAAACCGACTCATAATTGCAATTTTGCTCGCCGATGTTACTCAAGAAGTTATTGCCTTGCAAGAAACCTCCAATTCAGCGCTTTATTCCTCCTCCATCTTCTTCACTTCCAAACCCTCACAAGGGAGAAAGTAAGGAACAATGCAAAACACTAGCCCTCACCCGCCTCTAACACAAAGCCATGACTTACACCGTCCGTCCCATTTAACCAACCACAAAATCTTCAAATACCTGGTTGAGTTGCTAAAAGTTGGACGAAACAGAATTAACTTGAAAATGACCTCAAATCATCAGTTGACCATGCCGCAGCCAAGCTGTTCAACTTGCTTTGTCATTCGAAATGAAGATTTTCTCAACAATGCTAGACGGCTTAGACCAACCAAAGAAGACCTATACCTTGCTTCTTGTTGACTGCAGCAATTAACTTCTGGCTCTAGTCACTTTTGCTTAAACCTTACTCAACTGTACAAACGATTATCAATTTCATCTTTTTTGGTTTACTTTTCTTAAATAAAACCTAGATGAAGAACACTTATTCCATCTAAATTACGCAGCTTTTGCAACTTTTTTGTTCTTCTAACTAGTTAGCCAACACTAATTCAAAGATTTTTTCATTCTTAAGGTTAATTTCAATGTGAGCTTATAATTGTGCTCACATTTTTACATAATACTTCTATGTTTATTTATGATTACATACTTCAAAAAAAAGAGGAGAGTGAAGTAAAAATTTGATATGAATTCATCCAAAATTTGTTGACTCAATCTATTGTAATTAGGATTAGCATGATATCATATTATCCATCAACCTAGAGAACCACATGATTTTGCATTAATATCTTTTTCAAAAAATTTTCTTTATTCAATCAAATATATTATTGAATTTATTAAATCTTTTAAAATATTACCAGCATGGACTGATTTTTAATCTTAAAAATGAAAATTTACAATAATATGATTCAAAATTTAAACCCAACGACATTGAATCAATTAAAAAATCCAAGTAGACATTTAACAACAATACAATAGAAGCATATGATTACATTCATGTGAGTTTTATGTCAATCTTAAATTCTGAAAAAATTCAAATTCACAAGTGATCTCATCAAATTGATATACATCATTAAGCCAAGATGCTAGATTATGTTTTGATCTTGATGAAAAAAATTTGTTAGAGGATTTTTTTAACAAATCAATTAGTCACATCTTTAAATTTATGTACTCCAGTTTCACTTTATTGTTCACATGTAAGTTATCTTCGATCATTCATAATACATACTGAAATAAAATTATTAAAATTAAATAACAATTTAGATGAGGTAAATTTAAGAATCACATCTGACAAGGTGTAGATAGGCTCAAAGTAAGACCTTCAACTTGATTTACATAACCTACTTGGATCATGTTGTTTTCAAATTAAGGCATGACACTCTGTCTTTTAAAGTTGTAAGAAATATTCAAACTTGTATATGTACTTATAAATGTGCAATAACTTACTTAAACAAAACTTTTTGTTCTTCATTCACCCCGAGGAAAATTATTTGAGATCAAATTTCCATCAAATGGTCTCTCTTGGTTTCGTATGTGTTACAAGATGAATTACAACTTGCAAGAGCGCATTTGGCTATATCGACTGTCGATGATGCAGTTAAATAGTGAGGCTCCCAACACTGTACTCTTATGGACACTTGACAGAGTTCTGCTAGTGCCAAGCAAATCAAAGGGACCGATCCTGCACTTGTCGTTGTAGCTGTGCGCTGACTGTCTTCCTGCATGTGGATATATGCCAAACGATACGCAGGACTTGTAGCTCTTTGTCTGGAGCAAGAGCTAGATGGGTACAAATGCAGATCTACAGGTACGATATAAGTTGTGAGCCATAAAGACAACAGAATAACGTCAGATGGGAAACCGTCATTGTAGAACAAGGCAAGGAGTTGACCATATCCATCGAAGAGGGCCAGTTCTCTAAGAATGAAAGCAAGACGAGCAATTTGATAGAGAGTCATCATGGCATGAAGGAGAAAAGATTATTTGGAGTGTAACGGTCTAGTCCTTTAGCGTTTCCAGCTTATTGCGACAGATACTTAAAAGGGTTGGATCCGCTTCCATCAGTACGATGATGGCCATGGATATTCGAGGGACTGGTAGGGAGCAAGAAGAACACTCCAAGTGATTTAGACAGCCTGAAGACAACTTTCTAAAGCACATTCGTTGGAATACCCGATCCGAAGTCTAGCGCATCGAATGGAAATCGGTTTTGCCAAGAGCCAAAAGAAGTTTGAATCTTGTTCCACTCTTATCCTGGTCGGGAACCAGGATTCTGAACCACACCATTCATCATGCTTCTCACCAATTCTTCATCCACGCTCCATACTGCATCGTGAATAAATGTGGCAGCATTAATCAGCGGTTTCGACAAAACGTAACCAACCTTAGTACCAACATTTTGAAAAGATACAGCAGTAACTACGCTGTTGCCGAAGTATACAGCTGGTAAGTTCTTCAATCGAGATCGAGAGAGAAAAATGGTGTCGACTCCTGGTGTTCGACTTTCTTTATCTCGAGTAGTTTTCGCCATATGTGGGCAGATACGAGATATGCACTAGAGAGAGCTCTGCCTTCTCCACTGCCAAACGCCATTTTGGATTCAAGTTTCAGTTCGTGAATCTGTCTTGTGCTATATCTCAAGCTTTTACATCATGCTCCAGCTAGTTGAGTACAGGTGGCAGCCGAGTCACTGGACTGCTTCTTTCCTGCTTCGAAGACAATTTAGATTTAGCTTTCTATTGTGTTAGATATATGATCACACAATCTTCTAGTAACCTGTTGCTGTTTCTAGTGACTGATAGAGCTTCGAAGGGACTAGAGTTGATGCTTAGGAAATTCGTACCTATCACAATGAGAAATACAAGCCCCTGCATACCTGTAGCACTAAATAAAGCTTTCTGATTCGATTGATCAGTAACAGTAGTATGGATAACAAAATTCTACTGAAGTATTGTTCTGAAATAGATTGGTAAGAGGATGGTTGAAGGTAGCGTCGAAAGGCAGCTTGGAGATTTGTAAAAACCCTGGACCACAGCCACCAGGTCATTATTTTCGTGCGGAGATGCTAATCAGACGAAATGCATAGACGTATGAAAACTTCATAGCTGTTCCAAGTTATAATATATCTTTTCCTCTAGAAAACATTGAAATCGAATTCCCATCAACAATAACGTGAGGACAAGCTGATATGAATCACATATTTTTACACAAAATTTGTTTTGTTATTTATCTTATCAACAATCAACGATGATAGAGAAATGCAGATACATAAAACCAACAACGAATAGGAGATCTGGAGAAAATGAAGGCTAGGTCTGAACGCAACATATTCATAATGGCTAGAAACGAATACATACCAAACGGTGACAGGAAAATCAAAACAGAATTCCTTCACGTATCAAATAGGGAACCAGAAATTGGGATAGGGAACACAACACGTAAAGCGAGTCCATCCCATCTACCGTAAAGCGCAAGAGGTGTGCTACAATCCATTCGTCCGCTACTGCATGTGCAAAGCAAATGGAAGCGATATGCACAAGCGGAAATAAGATATCGTTCTTCGGTCTTTCAGCTTCAGGTTTTCTCACGTCAAGTTTTCTGCTCGATGTTTTCATCGTCCTGCTGCAGGCTTACATGAGTGCAGTTGCAGGAATTTGAGAGACAAGCATGGACGGCAGTTTTGATAAGAGACGACGACAGCGGAGTTTAAGATAACATGATCGTAGGAACAAACTCCAAAGCGCTCGAGGCTTAGGACAGTGAAAGGAAGACGAACATTGAATTGATGAGTCATGAAGGAAAAATAAAATTAACGTCCAGTGCATAAGGTGTTCACCTGAACGACGAGTGCCGGCAGGTCGTAGGTCGGCACTCTAAGTCGAAGGTCATCTGGTTGGAAGTTGGATTCATCGTTGACATCAAGCCCAGCGTAGCATTTATGAATTCACAAAGCTCCTGCGTTGTTGCGAAACAAGCGAACCGGCTTTTCTGCTTCACTTGTGAATGCGTAGACGTGAACCAGCGCTTTCGGCAGACATTTTATCAAGATTTCCAGATGTAGAGGACCAGCACCACTGCATCTTCCGTCGGAGCCCTCATAAGCAAGTCTAGAGGTGACCACTCCACATATTCTGGATCCTTCAAACGGTCGTGATCGGGTTCCACCATGCGTGACGAATGAGTCGCCCACTTAAAAACAATGTCGAGAGCTGCCACATCGACCTCCATCTATTTTTGCGCTTGTCGTTCACGCGCAAAATGTTGCTTAAATGATATGAAATGAAGCATATTTCCCAACTGCTGGCTTTGGTGAGCGTTTGGTTGCGAGGACGACAGCTACATATGGTCGAGGCTTTTAGAGATTGCACATTCAAAGGTTTACGATTGAACCATCGAAAAGAATTGTTCAAGTCAAGTAAAGTAATCAAGCGCGAACGCTGTAACATTTGGAGTCACAATGACTCGATTCAAGGTTTAAAAACGAAACCACCTCAACTGATCGATTTTTTTCGTACCATCACGCGATCGTCACGGTCGATTCTTTTGCCCGCCCAGAAATGTCTTCGAAAAGAAGAATTCAGCGTAAGATTTATGCACATCTCAGAGTGTAACGTGTCTTCCGCACCCGAGACATCTATCTTGCGTCCCTCCGCCATGCAAGAGTTGCTGCTCGTTGTCATGAGAATCTTCTCTCGCTCTCTTCTCAGATAGCGAACTACGAGGTCAACAGCGGTGCATCTTTCATTCTGAGGATTAGATGCAAATGTAATAAACTTAGGATGCTGGTGCACCGTTCGACATGGACAACCTCATGGAATTATTTTGTTCGAGATTTTCTATTTAATTTTACTCAAAGTAGCGTCTTACTGCACTGCAATTCTCACTGTCAAAGTCACGTACCTTCGAGTTGCGTAAAGATTGGGTCATGTCTCGGACTCTCGTACTTCTTCATTTCGATTAAATTCTAATTATAGGCGATGCATTTGACTCCAACAGCAGGCAGATAATTATGCGTCTTGAAGCTTTCAATCAGTTATTCAAAAGTTCAAGTATAAAGTCAAAGTTGCCACACTATACGCAGCACTATATCGTAGCACGTATCCAGGCTATGTACAAGGAGTTGAGGTACTCACGCTATTATAGTAAATTGGAAAACCTGAGTGCTTGATGTTGCTAAATTGTCGGAGTCAAATGTATTATCGAAATCATATTGTGAATAGACGAGACTCCAGACGAAATTTGTTTTTGATCAATATTCGATCATTTCATCTAGGTCAATTTTCAGTCTATTTAATATACTATTTTGATTTCTACCTATATAACGAATTATAGATTATCCAATTCCATCATTTCATACTTTGTTTCTTACGTTGTAATTTGGGAAATGACAATTCATATCTTGCTTGCGTTTCGATGCTTTGAATTTGAACGTGTCCATTGTTGTAGCTTTTTATATTTGGGTGTATCTATCATCACTATTATACAAACGCATCTTAGTGATTTCATTATTATGCATTTTGGCAAAAAATATTATATTCAAATAATAAATTTCTTTAATTGCTTTGTACTTACATTCAAAATTATGGTTTTTGACATTCAGATTACTCTTATTTCTATTGTTTTTTTATTGGACTAGTGAGTTTAGGTTGGATGTTAAACCTAGATTTGTTTTGGTTTCAGTATATGTTAAAGTTGATATTATTCATCCTCTTTCATCTTTGAGAACATTTTTGACGTTTTGTACACTTCCAACAACTTGGACATAATACTTTTGAAAGTGCAATGATTTTTTAATAACTCGACGTAATGAGCTATGCATGACTTGAAAAATTAACAGTTTAAGAAAATAATATTTTTTTCCCGAGGTTGAAAACTAAATGACTGTGATACTATTGTGAGTTTTTAAAAAAACACATATTGCAATTAAAAATACTATCATATAAATTTTTCTTTAGATTAAAAGTTTCAATCGATTGAAACAAAAAAATTTGAATGTTGAATTCTAATGTATTTCATCAAGATTACGCTAATTGTCACGCGCTTTATACAATAGCTATAAATTTATAACCTTGATTTTCTTCAAATAAGTTATTTGGTTAGGATTTTGATGACAAAATATATTTATATGACGTTTCCTATCCCTTGTTGCTTCGATTAATGAGTTTTAATAAGATTTGTGATTTTGATTCTGGATAACGCTTATCTTTCCTATGTTTGTGATTTGCCAATGCATACTTCTTCTTTTTTTAATTTATGTCTATACTCATATTCAATTTATTTGCATCATCACACATTAATCTTTCAATTATACGAACAAACGTATAAGACAAGAATAAGTGAAATCTCCACGCTGGCTGAAAACAAATCAACTGTCATTTCCAGCTCTTGCAATTTTTTCAAGAAATTCAATATCACATCTATTCATTTGCAGCCCAAAATATTAATACAATTTTTAACTCACTTCTCAATCTAATACAGAACTTTATTAACATGCAAATTTGAATCAATGGCTAACTCTTCATTGTCACACAAACTATAATGTAATTTATAAATATTCTTCATATCTGAACTTCTTTCATTTCTCACTAATTATTCCATTTATGTCAATAGGTTCGAAGGGATGGTAAACTTTGTTTGAGTATCTCTTTTTTGCCAAGATAATCTTAAATTCTAAATCATGTGTAAGACGAAACAACTTGTATTCTTTTCAAGACTTGCGCGAAGACTAAGCTCTGGCACTATACTGCTCTCTTGTAACTGAAAGTATGTTTACTTCATCAGTAGTTTTTACGATCTCTTCGCTGAAATGTTGCATGGTTCAATTCACCTCCATAAAAAAATCGTTGCAAGATTCATCTACTAAAACATATAGAGACACTAATTTGAATATAACAAAGATATGAATGGCTACGAATCCAAATAAAGTTGCAAATAAGTTATTATTATGCTTTACATCATTGGCATTAACGATTTTAAAAATCTGCTATTATTCTAACTACCTAAGAATGATCATGAATTTATGATATTTATAAGAAATTTCAAGCCAAAATCAAAAAAAATCATTCTGATTGTGAAATGTTAATCTTCATAAGTTTAAAAAAGTACAATGAATCATTTTTTGAGACAATTAATAAATAATAAATTAAATTAATAAATAATAAAATTATATCAAATTCTCAACATAAATATGTCTTTCTGATAAGTATGGATCTAAATGCATCCAATGAGTTGTTATATTCGGATGAATCACATCTAACTATTGGTTTTTTCAACGTATGATCTAATTATATTTCATAAAATCAATAAAATAAAACTATTTTCTAACAATCAAAACTGTGATATATTTCATGAGAAGTGCGTCACTTGATTTTATGAAAATGAAAAAAAAATCAATTTCAGATGTATTAAACTTTTTACATGTCAATATGACACGTCAATTGATAGTTTGAACTTATGTGAATAAAAAAACAATAAACAGTATCACAATGATCTAGAAGATTACAAAGTTCGAATCTTGTTAAGAAAATATCAAAAGACTATAAACTTAAATGTGCCAGGGCCGTTTCGTTTGCAATTATGAACTCAGTACATCGATACATCCATCATCGATCAGCAACCAGCGTTAAAGATTGACACGATTTTCTGAGCAGATATGATACTAAAACTTCGCCGATGTCGTCCAGTTCCTCCTGTTCAGTATCTGGAAATGGAAGCTATGAGATCATTCGTCCACTCGAAGCGCACTTACCTCATCATTGAGGTTTCCGACCAAACAGCTTGTGGATTCGCATCACCATGCAAATTGTACGAGCAGACTCGATTGTCGGTGCATTCTCAGCTGGGCTGAAGAAGAAGTAAGGAGAGAGAGAGAGAGAGAGAGAGGGGTGAGTGAACTGGTTAGCACAGAGAAAATGCAGGCTCGTGGAAGGGCGAAAGCACGGCCTGGCCTAGCCTGCTCTCCTTTCCACTAGACTTCTTTGTTGGACGGAAGAGCAGCAGCAGCAGGAGGGGTAGTATAGTATGAACATTTGTCTTCTCCCCCACCCACTGGGCGCACGGCTGCACTACAGTGGTGGCTGGAAAGCCGACGATTTCAACAAACACATCTTTTTCGGTGGAAGCTCTATGCTCCTCCTGCAGCTCGAGTGGGCCATACTGCCATGACAAACTCAACAACCTTTATTGCACCTGGGGCAAGCATTATCTGGTGAAAGAGAGAGTGAGAGTGACATGTTAAAGTGGATAAAAAAACATAAGTCTGGAGAGGGATCTTGGCTAAATTTGACACGGTCTGCCATTATAGGATCAGCATACTTTCGAATCTAGGGACTCTGAATCCTGTGGATGGTGAATTGATGGTCCCTTATCATGGCCTTTAGGGTTGTGGATGATTTTCGACGTTTAGTTTGAAAGACTGGCACAAGTCCATCCAAATTATACTTGGCGGTCTGATTACGCAAGCATATCTGCTGCTGCTGCTGATTCACACGTTGTCTTGGTCTACGCTCATACTCGCATGAATGGTCATATCTTCCTTCTGGCTGGGAATTCTGGAGCACACATCGTTTGTTTGTTTCGAGAAAGGTGTAGCAAGTCCTCATTGCTCCGAAAAGCCTGCGGCTCGTAGTGTTGTGCTCAGACTTAAGAATTCTTTTCTCTGCGGCTGCTGCTGCTTCTCTCTTTCTCTCTTTCTGTACTGTTGGCCTTTATCCATTGATGGGATTATTGTTTAACCCTGCTCTCTCTCTCTCTCTCTCTCTCTCCTTCCTGTTCTCTGCCGGGCTTCTGCTTAATTCAAAGCATATATTCTGGACTGTATTTCTTGTAAACCTCAGAGGTGCAGAAAAGATCTGATGTACGAGGAATTTACTCTTCCATGGTGAGCAGAGACAGGCTTTTCGATTGCAAGGCAGAAAATTTCGGGCCAGCTCGGATTCTGAGTGAGTGAGTGTGCGTGCGTGGGAGCACTCCTCGGCTTTCGTGGACTGAGCTGAGCTTATCTTAGATTAGCTTAGCCTAGCTTACCATGGCATCATCTCGACCAGGACAACATGGCCGGACTGGGCCTCAATCAGGCTCCGTCCAGGTGAGACCGCTGTTACAGGACTTAAGTTCAGCAGGCTACGTGTTATAGAAATTGTCCGCTGAGGCTTCTGCATGGCGCTCAGATTGAGAGTATATTATCCCTCGCAGTTTGCCGCCTGCATCTTACGTCCTTCAGTGCTGGACAGAGTCAAATCGAGCAGATTTCTCTTTTTGAGTCAGTTCTCGTGAGCGATTCTTACGCCCGAGTGATGCTCGTTGTACCACGAGCCCGCGACCAAAACCACATGTTCATTCATTCATTCATTCATTCAGAAGTTCCTTCGTCTGGGTTACTCCGTTCGTTTGTACACCCTGGACATATTCATTCACTTTCATGCGTCCGGGTCCCCTGAAGCACATGAGGACATGAAAGCTCGAAGCTACTGACTGATGCTTACCACCGGCATGATAGTTGATATTCACCACCTCCACGCCCTCTGAAACCTTCTCATCAGAACTGCGTCTGGGGAGGGAGAGTCTCAACACTTTCAGCTGATGTCGTGAACAGACAACTTTTGATCTCAAGTCAAAGTGTTCGGGGTGCTCGTTGGAAGGCAGTAGGAGATGAGACTCTAATGGTCTTTTCGGTTCATCTTCAGCTGACAACCGTGACTTTAGAGATGATACTGTCCATCCTCTTCGTTAAGTCCCTAAGCCTCTCCCA